CACGTATGTCTTTCTATGTGTGATGTATCTGAGAACCGGAGAGAGAAACTGAAAAAACTTCCAGGAGCTCTGGTGCACAACGATCCCGTCTCTGTGAGGTTCTTTTCCACAGACTACAGACTCTAAGTCCCGGCAGCTGCACTTTGTTGGTGACGATCATTCCTTGTGTGCTGCTAATAATGAGAATCGACAGCTTTGTAATGTCGTCTACTGTATAAACTACTGTTGTGACTTACGGTGATACACAAATAAATCCTAGAAATGATAAAGAAATAAGTCAAAAATTGCTCAAATTTGGCCAAAATGTGTTTTCATTTGAGCACATTCTGAATGAGCCTTAAAACTAGATTTGCCAAATGGGACAAAGCAAAATGATCTTGTTTAAAAAAAGATACAAAAATGTCTTCCTTAGAATGAGAAGGAAAGACCTGCGGAAACTCTCCTTCAAACATCCAGGGTGAATAAGTCTGTCACTGAAGCTACTCTCCAGAGCAGACAGAGTGTCCTGCAGGGGGCGACAGTCATGGTCCAGCAAAAGGTGAGTTATGGCAATGGTTCGGATCAGTTTTCATGACTTTTAGATTGTCATGTTTTCAGTTCTGGTCGTCGCCATGGAGACTGGGCTTTGAGAGACGCCTTTCGTTGCTCCACAAAAACACCTTCAAACTCAGAGGTCAGACGCAAAACTTCAAAGTATTTCGGCCTCGTAGCGCTTTGGTGTTGTCAGCTGCAGTGGGCCAGAGGCTGTGCAGGTGTGTGTGTGTGTGTGTGCGTGTGTGTGTGTGCGCGTATGTGTGCGTGTGCGTGTGTGTGTGTGCGTGTGTGCGCATATGTGTGCGTGTGTGCGTGTGTGTGTGCGCGTATGTGTGCGTGTGCGTATGTGTGCGTGTGCGTGTGTGTGTGTGTGTGTGTGTGTGCGTGTGTGCGTGTGTGTGTGTGCGCGTATGTGTGTGTGTGCGCGTATGTGTGCGTGTGCGTATGTGTGCGTGTGCGTGTGCGTGTGCGTGTGCGTGTGCGTGTGCGTGTGTGTGTGTGTGTGTGTGTGTGTGTGTGTGTGTGTGTGTGTGTGTGTGTGTGTGTGTGTGGAGGGGCCCCGGCACTCTCTGGCCCCTGGAGACAGTTATGTATTGTAATGTATTCTGTGACAAGGTGGCGTGCTGTTTACAGGCCGGAGCTGCCTTCATTAGCATGAGTTCACAGCCGGGGCCTCCTGACAGTTGTCCTTGGACCCCCGGGGGCCCGTCCCCTCTCACAAGTTCACCGCTTTTCCTCCAAACACCTTTGTTCTATAACAGATCACAGCTCAGCCTCCGTCAGAGCCATTATCCTCACCTGTGCAAGAGTTAGGAATGTTTTAGACTTTAGTACCGACTGAGACAAGGGGCCAATGACATTTGATATTCTGGATATTACAGAGAGAGACGGACAGACAGACAGATGAATAGACAGACGGATACATAGGTAGACAGACAGACAGACAGATGAATAGACAGACGGATACATAGGTAGACAGACGGACAGACAAATAAATAGACAGACAGACAGATACATAGACAGACAGATAAATAGACAGACAGACAGATAACTAGACAGACAGACAGATACATAGACAGACAGATACATAGACAGACAGACAGATAAATAGACAGACAGACAGATACATAGACAGACAGACAGATACATAGACAGACAGATAAATAGACAGACAGACAGATAAATAGACAGACAGATAAATAGACAGACAGATAGATAGACAGACAGACAGATAAATAGACAGACAGATAAATAGACAGACAGATACATAGACAGACAGATAAATAGACGGACAGATAAATAGACAGAAAGATAAATAGACAGACAGATAAATAGACAGACAGATAAATAGACAGACAGATAAATAGACAGACAGATAAATAGACAGACAGATACATAGACAGACAGACAGATAAATAGACAGACAGATACATAGACAGACAGACAGATAAATAGACAGACAGACAGATAAATAGACAGACAGACAGATAAATAGACAGACAGATAAATAGACAGACAGACAGATAAATAGACAGACAGATAAATAGACAGACAGATAAATAGACAGACAGATAAATAGACAGACAGATAAATAGACAGACAGATAAATAGACAGACAGATACATAGACAGACAGATACATAGACAGACAGATAAATAGACAGACAGATACATAGACAGACAGATACATAGACAGACAGATACATAGACAGACAGATACATAGACAGACAGATACATAGACAGACAGATAAATAGACAGACAGATAAATAGACAGACAGATACATAGACAGACAGATACATAGACAGACAGATACATAGACAGACAGATACATAGACAGACAGATAAATAGACAGACAGATAAATAGGTAGACAGACAGATAAATAGACAGACAGATAAATAGGTAGACAGATAAATAGGTAGACAGACAGATTCTTTGTTATTCCCTGAAGGAGAAATGCATTATTCTGACACTAAAAGAAAATAAAGGTAAAGATAAAATTCCCAGAATGCACTTGTGTCTGGAATTGTCTGTGTTTTAATCTCAGGCAAAATGTCCAATCTGAGGCCCGCGGACCAACTGCGGCCCTCTGTGTCCTGTTGTGTGGCCCTGTGTCTAACCTGAATTAGCCTTTGACGTCATAAACACAAGTTCACATTGTCATCCAGCCAACTTCAGCTCCTCCAATGTAGACAGCTTTACCTCGTTATAAAGTTCAGCTGTTGACTTTTCATTTGTCTTTTGTCATGAACAGGCTCGAAGTCTGATCAGTCTGAACGTCTCTAAAAGCTCTGGTCTAAAGATTCAACAATTGTGGACCAAGACCAGGACCAGGACCAGGACCAGGTTTAGACAGTTTTATCCACGGCCAGAGGATCCACGGTTTTGAATGAACGTTGGCAAAAGAATGCAAAGAAAGAGGTTTGTATCATTCAAATAAATACTAATCATTGGACAACGTCAAATGATCATTAAAGGAGCAGTCTGTAAAACTCTCCCACTCTCCCTGACTCAGGTTGCCAGATATGCAGACAAATCCAGCTGGGACCATAACAGCTGAATAGACAAGAGTTTTGTCAACAACAAATCTATAACCAACACCTTTTTCACAAAGATAGAAATCCTGGTTTTATTCCTTGTTTTGTCGTTAATGATTTGAGAATCATAACGAGACCTTTTTTAGTTCTGCGCCACATGGTACTTTACCAGTGAGCTTAGCTCCACAAGGTGAGTTCTGGCGCCCGGATCACAGACTTTCTGATTGGTGAAACGGAGGAGGGCGGGACATCGAAATGAAAACAATAACAAGATTTAGAGGCTGGAAAAGTAATTTATTTGTACAACAGAGTACAACAGAGTACTACAGAGTATTACAGAGTACTACGGAGTACTTCAGAGTATTACTGAGTATTACAGAGTACTACAGAGTATTACAGAGTACTACAGAGTACTTCAGAGTATTACAGAGTATTACAGAGTATTACAGAGTACTACAGAGTATTACAGAGTACTACAGAGTACTTCAGAGTGTGAAACAGGAAAAGTTAATGCCATTTTAATTTGTCTGTGGTTTTTCAGCTGCTTCTGGAAAGTGTCAGCTCTGCTCATGTCTCCTGTCAATCACAGAAAACCATCGGAAGGTTCTCAGCTCATTACAGCTCATTCCAGCACACCCAGGCCAAACATCCAGGCTAAACACCCAGGCCAAACATCCAGGCGAAACACCCAGGCCAAACATCCAGGCTAAACACCCAGGCCAAACATCCAGGCGAAACACCCAGGCCAAACATCCAGGCGAAACACCCAGGCCAAACATCCAGGCTAAACACCCAGGCCAAACATCCAGGCGAAACACCCAGGCCAAACATCCAGGCTAAACACCCAGGCCAAACATCCAGGCAAAACACCCAGGCCAAACATCCAGGCTAAACACCCAGGCCAAACATCCAGGCGAAACACCCAGGCCAAACATCCAGGCCAAACACCCAGGCCAAACATCCAGGCTAAACACCCAGGCCAAACATCCAGGCTAAACACCCAGGCCAAACATCCAGGCGAAACACCCAGGCCAAACATCCAGGCTAAACACCCAGGCCAAACATCCAGGCGAAACACCCGGGCCAAACATCCAGGCTAAACACCCAGGCCAAACATCCAGGCGAAACACCCAGGCCAAACATCCAGGCCAAACACCCAGGCTAAACACCCAGGCTAAACACCCAGGCCAAACACCCAGGCCAAACATCCAGGCTAAACACCCAGGCCAAACATCCAGGCCAAACACCCAGGCCAAACATCCAGGCTAAACACCCAGGCCAAACACCCAAGCCAAACACCCAGGTCAAACATCCAGGCTAAACACCCAGGCCAAACATCCAGGCTAAACACCCAGGCCAAACATCCAGGCTAAACACCCAGGCCAAACATCCAGGCTAAACAACCGGGCCAAACATCCAGGCCAAACATCCAGGCTAAACACCCAGGCCAAACATCCAGGCTAAACACCCGGGCCACACATCCAGGCTAAACACCCAGGCCAAACATCCAGGCGAAACACCCAGGCTAAACATCCAGGCTAAACATCCAGGCTAAACACCCAGGCCAAACATCCAGGCTAAACACCCGGGCCAAACATCCAGGCCAAACACCCAGGCCAAACACCCAGGCTAAACACCCAGGCCAAACACCCAGGCCAAACATCCAGGCCAAACACCCAGGCCAAACACCGAGGCTAAACACCCAGGCCAAACACCCAGGCCAAACTTCCAGGCTAAACACCCGGGCCAAACATCCAGGCCAAACACCCAGGCCAAACATCCAGGCTAAACACCCAGGCCAAACATCGAGGCTAAACACCCTGGCCAAACATCCAGGCTAAACACCCAGGCCAAACATCCAGGCTAAACACCCAGGCTAAACATCCAGGCTAAACATCCAGGCTAAACACCCAGGCCAAACATCCAGGCTAAACACCCGGGCCAAACATCCAGGCCAAACACCCAGGCCAAACACCCAGGCTAAACACCCAGGCCAAACACCCAGGCCAAACACCCAAGCCAAACACCCAGGCCAAACACCCAAGCCAAACACCCAGGCCAAACAGGCCAAACACCCAGGCCAAACACCCAGGCCAAACACCCAGGCCAAACACCCAGGCTAAACACCCAGGCCACAGCACTTTACGATTGTTGGGCAGGTCACCTACAGAAGGCACAGGCCAGACCTACTGTTTCAGCCCAAAGTCGTCCTTTCACAGAACACTCACTGTTGAATCTGTCCCATTTGTCTCAGCACAGTGTCTCCTGTAGCTTTATCCAAGCAGAGATGGCTCTGAGCCAGGACCAGGTCCAGGACCAGTCCAGGATTAACTTAATGTAGTAAACAATGACCCCGCTCTCTGTGTGGAGACAAATGTCCATAACTGTAAAGTGCTTTGTGACTCTGTGAAAGGCGCTATATAAATAAAGATGACTTACAGATAGAAACAGAAAAAGTCACAAAGTTCTGAAAACTCGTCTTGGCTAAAGTTTATTGTACACTTTCCCTGTAAAATAAAAATCACACCTAACCATGTACAGTACATCAGTAATCACACTTCCAACACAAAAAGCCGTCACATTGACTGCTCTGTGGCCTCACGCCTCCTTTGCTAACCTCGAGTCTCCTGAACATGAACACTCTCTTTACGGCACTTGACGGACAGCTCAGTTTAAAGTGCACGAGTTTCTCTATTGACTCTTGACAAATAGATTCGTGCCAAAACACGAGGACACTCCCAGGATTACGGAGCCGGTGCCCAGCGAGGCGTGAGGCCCCAGGGCCGGGCCCCGGGCCCCGGCTCATACCTGGCTGTCACACGCACACACGGCGCCTTGATTACATTCTAATGGTTATTGCTTTGAGTGACAGGCGGCAGAGCGAGAGGAAGACTCCACGGAGCGGATGTGAAGCATGAGAAAACACTGTTGTGATGTTTGTGTCGGTGTTAAAGCTTTGGCGGAGGATCCTCGGAGCGTCAGGAGCGTCAGGATCCTCGGAGCGTCAGGATCCTCGGAGCGTCAGGAGCGTCAGGAGCGTCAGGAGCGTCAGGATCCTCGGAGCGTCAGGAGCGTCAGGACATTCCATTCGTCATCTGTGAGTTCAGGCCAAAACCGCAACCTGTCAATCATCTTCAGTTCACAGCTTCTGACTCTACTTCAGTGTCGTTTATTAACTGCAGTTAAATGACAGATAATACAGTGATGAATGAGAAATGTATTTATGCAACATGAGTCATGAGTCTACAGCCTCAGTCCTGGGTCTACAGCCTCAGTCCTGGGTCTACAGCCTCAGTCCTGGGTCTACAGCCTCAGTCCTGGGTCTACAGCCTCAGTCCTGGATCTACAGCCTCAGTCCTGGGTCTACAGCCTCAGTCCTGGGTCTACAGCCTCAGTCCTGGGTCTAGAGCCTCAGTCCTGGGTCTACAGCCTCAGTCCTTGGTCTACAGGCTCAGTACTGGGTCTACAGCCTCAGTCCTGGGTCTACAGCCTCAGTCCTGGGTCTACAGCCTCAGTCCTGGGTCTACAGCCTCAGTCCTGGGTCTACAGCCTCAGTCCTGGGTCTACAACCTCAGTCCTGGATCTACAGCCTCAGTCCTGGGTCTACAGCCTCAGTCCTGGGTCTACAGCCTCAGTCCTGGGTCTACAACCTCAGTCCTGGATCTACAGCCTCAGTCCTTGGTCTACAGGCTCAGTCCTGGATCTACAGCCTCAGTCCTGGGTCTACAGCCTCAGTCCTGGGTCTACAGCCTCAGTCCTGGGTCTACAGCCTCAGTCCTGGGTCTACAGCCTCAGTCCTGGGTCTACAGCCTCAGTCCTGGGTCTACAGTCTCAATCCTGGATCTACAGCCTCAGTCCTGGATCTACAGCCTCAGTCCTGGATCTAGAGCCTCAGTCCTGGATCTAGAGCCTCAGTCCTGGATCTACAGCCTCAGTCCTGGATCTACAGCCTCAGTCCTGGATCTACAGCCTCAGTCCTGGATCTACAGCCTCAGTCCTGGATCTAGAGCCTCAGTCCTGGGTCTACAGCCTCAGTCCTGGATCTAGAGCCTCAGTCCTGGATCTACAGCCTCAGTCCTGGATCTAGAGCCTCAGTCCTGGATCTACAGCCTCAGTCCTGGATCTAGAGCCTCAGTCCTGGATCTAGAGCCTCAGTCCTGGATCTACAGCCTCAGTCCTGGGTCTACAGCCTCAGTCCTGGGTCTACAGCCTCAGTCCTGGGTCTACAGCCTCAGTCCTGGGTCTACAGCCTCAGTCCTGGGTCTACAGCCTCAGTCCTGGTTCTACAGCCTCAGTCCTGGGTCTACAGCCTCAGTCCTGGGTCTACAGCCTCAGTCCTGGGTCTACAGTCTCAATCCTGGATCTACAGCCTTAGTCCTGGATCTAGAGCCTCAGTCCTGGATCTAGAGCCTCAGTCCTGGATCTACAGCCTCAGTCCTGGATCTAGAGCCTCAGTCCTGGATCTACAGCCTCAGTCCTGGATCTACAGCCTCAGTCCTGGATCTAGAGCCTCAGTCCTGGATCTAGAGCCTCAGTCCTGGGTCTACAGCCTCAGTCCTGGATCTAGAGCCTCAGTCCTGGATCTACAGCCTCAGTCCTGGATCTACAGCCTCAGTCCTGGATCTACAGCCTCAGTCCTGGATCTAGAGCCTCAGTCTTGGATCTAGAGCCTCAGTCCTGGATCTACAGCCTCAGTCCTGGATCTAGAGCCTCAGTCCTGGATCTACAGCCTCAGTCCTGGGTCTACAGCCTCAGTCCTGGGTCTACAGCCTCAGTCCTGGGTCTACAGTCTCAATCCTGGATCTACAGCCTCAGTCCTGGATCTACAGCCTCAGTCCTGGGTCTACAGCCTCAGTCCTGGGTCTACAGTCTCAATCCTGGATCTACAGCCTCAGTCCTGGATCTACAGCCTCAGTCCTGGATCTACAGCCTCAGTCCTGGATCTAGAGCCTCAGTCCTGGATCTAGAGCCTCAGTCCTGGATCTACAGCCGCAGTCCTTGATCTAGAGCCTCAGTCCTGGATCTACAGCCAGGACTCACAGACAAAAACAAACTTCCTTCAAAGTGAAAAAACACTTCCTGATCATTAAAATGAATAATCCAGTATTTTCTTATGGTTCTGTGCGGCCGGTTCCTATACTGATAAAATTTCATCTGGGGGTCAAGAAAATTCATTCATGGGCCGCATCTGGCCCTCGGGCCTGACTTTTTGAGACCCAGGGTCTAGAATAGAGGTCGGGAACCTTCTTAACGGAGAGAGCCAAATATGTCTCATACTTTAAAATGTGTTAATATTTTAAAACAAAATCACTACATTTAGAGTAAAAGTCTGACATGTATTAAAACATCTCTATCAGGGGTCCCAAAACTTTTTCCTGTGAGGGCCACTTAACCCTTCTCTGCTGGGGGCCGGGTCAGTGTGTAACAGAAAACGTGTGACGATTGCCTGACTGTAAACATGTGTTGTTTTCCAGAAAGCACAATAAAAAACCTTTTCTGGATTCTTCACACAAACAGTCCATGAACATAATCTTTCTGTGTCGTGCACAATCTTAACAGATCCAAGTGAAAACCGTCCACTGCAGGTTAAATGCCCTGCTAACGTTTTCTCTTTCCTAATCTTTTTGCCATCGTTTCGTTCTCGCTTTGAGAAGTCCGCATTTAGGTTTTTTTTCTGCAGGTTGCCAGATAGGAGCATGGAACAGAAAGGTGGACCAGAATGTCACATTATAAGCATGTATGAAATAGTTACTAACTAATAATTAATGATGGAAATAATTCATAACTAAGGAACATTTTATTGCTAAAGTCCAACTGTGTTATCAAATACACATATATGAGAAAACAATCAAGATGCTCTGTTCTCTGGTATTGTTCAGGGGCCAGATCAAAAGTGGGGGCGAGTCGGATTCAGCCCGCGGGCCATAGTTTGGAGACCTGATCTAGATTGTATTATTTTATTTGATAACATTTTTAGACTGAATAAATCCAATACATAAAACATTCTTATTATGAACTAAGATTAGTCTCAGAGACAGATACAATCATCCAGACCTGAGTCAGATTCCAAACTCCTGCTTTAGAAAGAGATATTTCGTCTTCAGTTCTGTTCAGACTTTAGCTCACCCCAGGAACGCACAGAGTCATTTTATTTCTTTCCCGCTCAGTAAGAAGTAATATATTGAAAATTGCCTGAAGCAGCTGAGAATAGACTTTTGTGGCATCGCTGAAGTAAATCTGCTGTTGAAGAAAGATGGTCCTGTATCTGGGATTGTGAGTCGTGATTGCATTAGCGTCGTCACGGTGACAAGACCAGGAAGACTCAGCAGCGTTTTCCTCGACAGCAGCGGTGCACACGGGACTCTAAAGTCTCTGTCTCACCTGTAAGAGAGAGAGACCAGAGAGAGATCAGAGAGAGATCAGAGAGAGACCAGAAAGAGACCAGAGAGAGACCAGAGAGAGACCAGAGAGAGGCCAGAGAGAGAGAGACCAGAAAGAGAGACCAGAGAGAGACCAGAGAGAGGCCAGAGAGAGAGAGACCAGAAAGAGAGACCAGAGAGAGATCAGAGAGAGACCAGAAAGAGACCAGAAAGAGACCAGAGAGAGAGAGACCAGAGAGAGGCCAGAGAGAGAGAGACCAGAAAGAGAGACCAGAGAGAGACCAGTGAGAGACCAGACAGAGACCAGAGAGAGATCAGAGAGAGACCAGAAAGAGACCAGAGAGAGAGAGACCAGAGAGAGGCCAGAGAGAGAGAGACCAGAAAGAGAGACCAGAGAGAGGCCAGAGAGAGACCAGAGAGAGACCAGAGAGAGACCAGAAAGAGAGACTAGAGAGAGACCAGAGAGAGACCAGAGAAAGACCAGAGAGAGACCAGAGAGAGACCAGAAAGAGAGACTAGAGAGAGACCAGAGAGAGAGACCAGAGAGAGATCAGCAAGAGACCAGAAAGAGAGACTAGAGAAAGACCAGAGAGAGACCAGAGAAAGACCAGAGAGAGACCAGAGAGAGACCAGAAAGAGAGACTAGAGAGAGACCAGAGAGAGACCAGAGAAAGACCAGAGAGAGACCAGAGAGAGACCAGAAAGAGAGACTAGAGAGAGACCAGAGAGAGAGACCAGAGAGAGATCAGAGAGAGACCAGAAAGAGAGACTAGAGAGAGACTAGAGAGAGACCAGAGAGAGACCAGAGAGAGACCAGAGAGAGACCAGAGAGAGAGACTAGAGAGAGACCAGAGAGAGACCAGAGAAAGACCAGAGAGAGACCAGAGAGAGAGACCAGAGAGAGATCAGCAAGAGACCAGAAAGAGAGACTAGAGAGAGACCAGAGAGAGACCAGAGAAAGACCAGAGAGAGATCAGAGAGAGACCAGAAAGAGAGACTAGAGAGAGACTAGAGAGAGACCAGAGAGAGACCAGAGAGAGACCAGAGAGAGACCAGAGAGAGAGACTAGAGAGAGACCAGAGAGAGACCAGAGAAAGACCAGAGAGAGACCAGAGAGAGACCAGAAAGAGAGACTAGAGAGAGACTAGAGAGAGACCAGAGAGAGACCAGAGAGAGACCAGAGAGAGACCAGAGAGAGAGACCAGAGAGAGACCAGAGAGAGACCAGAAAGAGAGACTAGAGAGAGACCAGAGAGAGACCAGAGAAAGACCAGAGAGAGACCAGAGAGAGACCAGAAAGAGAGACTAGAGAGAGACTAGAGAGAGACCAGAGAGAGACCAGAGAGAGACCAGAAAGAGAGACTAGAGAGAGACTAGAGAGAGACCAGAGAGAGACCAGAGAGAGACCAGAGAGAGACCAGAGAGAGAGAGACCAAAGAGAGAGACCAGTGAGAGGTCTGCTCTGAAAGAGGACGGTGAATTGTCTGTTCTGGAGGTTCTTTATGAATCTAGACCAGGGGTCGGGAACCCAAAATGTTCAAAAAGCCATAATTGACAAAAAAAACTAAAAACAACATCTGTCTGGAGCCGCAAGAAAATAACAGCCTTGTATAAGGCTTTTATGAAGGTAACACAGGCTGCAAGATGTATTAGCTATATTAGCCTAATATCTAAATGACAAAGTAAAGGCTACAAATAATCATTCATCATTATCAAATGTGTATTTTCACTGCAGCGTGTCGTGAATGACGCAACACGGGACAACTCTGCTTTAGTTTAACTTTTTGCCTTCATGCAATTGTAGAAATACAGTAAATAAATCTGCTTTGGGCTCAAAGGTCACATACCTGCATCACTGTCTGTTCATATCCATCACGTCACAGGCTGAAGTTTGCTGGAGCTGAATTAAAATCCTTAATGGCCTTTTCTTTCACCGTCTTTGAGAAGGTTTTGAAGTCTGAAAATAGGTGCTCTGAATTTTTCCTTCACGTAATCACCGTTTACGTCGTTTTGCGCGTCATCGTTCCTCGTGTTTCAACAAAACTTTTCATTACAAACATGAAGCAGTCCTTCCTCATTGACTGAAAGAAAATGTTCATTCTCATTCTTAGTCCAGTCTTGTTATCGACTCTTTCTCGTTTTAGCTTTGGGATCCATGTGCACTAAAGTCTATGATGCACACACGCCGGTTTGTTTACAGCAGCGGCCACATGGGGCGGGGCCGCGTGACCGCGCGTCATAGGATATGACGCACTACGTTGACAGAAATGTTGAAATTAGATATTACTTATACATATTTTTACAGCATTTGCAAACGTAAAGATTGTTTTTCCTTCTACAGAAACCACATTCAAACTAGAAATAAAATATAGCCCTCACACTCCATTTTCAGACATGTTTGAAAAGGCTCCAGGAGCCTCTCCAGGAGCACTCAAAAGCCGCATGCGGCTCCGGAGCCGCAGGTTGCCGACCCCTGATCTAGACCTTTTAAAATCCAGTTCTCGGAATAATCACTAACTCTTCTGGCCCCTGGTAAAGACATGTTCCAGCTTCTTCCCTCTGGCATATCATTGGCTGCAGGACATCTGGACATGCTAACATGCTAACAGCTTCTTTCAGCTGTTATCAGTCTGAACAAAGTACTTTAATGATCTTCTCTTGAATCAAAACCGTTTTATTTCCTGTACTTTTCTTTAGCTTGTTTATTTCTGTACTTGTCTGGTGCACACTGGGGACTTTTGCATGTCTCTTCCAATGTGGTTTTACTGCACAGAAACTGAATCTGAAGGTCCCAGGGTCAGTCTGGAGCTTTAGGATGCAGTGCAGAGATGGAGATGGTGAAGAATCAGGTTTCAGATGCTTTTTTATAGTTAGTAAGTTTTAGTTTCAGTTTTAGTTTCAGTAAGTAATGTATTTACTTGCTTGGTATCCCTTAGTTATTAGTAATTTATGCTGATTATTTATGCTAAAGTTAGAGATTTTATTTTAGTTTAGAGCAATTGTTTTTTTCCAGTGCCACTGAATAAAGAATACATCAGAAAAAAGTTGCGTATTTTATCCCAGTTCTTTGTTCTTACAGACTCGCCGCTTTGTTTTAGTTCTGCACCAAAGCGTTGTTCTGAGTGTCTTCCACCTCGTCGTGTGCGGTCACAGTTAAACTAAAAGCAAAAACGTCCATAAACTGACGTGATGTGCGACTGGAAACTGTAATCACCGTTTTAATAATGTTGGACTTAGCCTGGATCAGTGCGTCCACGCCTGACTCCAGCACTGATTACAATCCCATTGGCACCCTCCGAGAGGCCCCCGGGCTCTGGGAACTTCAGCCGTGATGGAAACAGCAGAGAGAGCGCTTTGTTGGCCGTTAAATATGTCGTTAAAAGAGGTTATTGGTGGAGAAAACATGAAACACTCTGAGGACAGGAGGTCTCGCTCACGGCTGCGGAGACTCTCTGAGGACAGGAGGTCTTGCTCACGGCTGCGGAGACTCTCTGAGGACAGGAGGTCTTGCTCATGGCTGCGGAGACTCTCTGAGGACAGGAGGTCTCGCTCATGGCTACGGAGACTCTCTGAGGACAGGTGGTCTCGCTCACGGCTGCGGAAACTCTCTGAGGACAGGAGGTCTCGCTCATGGCTGCGGAGACTCTCTGAGGACAGCAGGTCTCTGAGGACAGGAGGTCTCGCTCATGGCTGCGGAGACTCTCTGAGGACAGCAGGTCTCTGAGGACAGGAGGTCTCGCTCACGGCTGCGGAGACTCTCTGAGGACAGGAGGTCTCGCTCATGGCTGCGGAGACTCTCTGAGGACAGCAGGTCTCTGAGGACAGGAGGTCTCGCTCACGGCTGCGGACACTCTCTGAGGACAGGAGGTCTCGCTCATGGCTGCGGAGACTCTCTGAGGACAGCAGGTCTCTGAGGACAGGAGGTCTCGCTCACGGCTGCGGACACTCTCTGAGGACAGGAGGTCTCGCTCATGGCTGCGGAGACTCTCTGAGGACAGGAGGTCTCGCTCACGGCTGCGGAGACTCTCTGAGGACAGGAGGTCTCGCTCACGGCTGCGGAGACTCTCTGAGGACAGGAGGTCTTGCTCACGGCTGCGGAGACTCTCTGAGGACAGGAGGTCTTGCTCACGGCTGCGGAGACTCTCTGAGGACAGGAGGTCTCGCTCATAGCTGCGGAGACTCTCTGAGGACAGGTGGTCTCGCTCACGGCTGCGGAAACTCTCTGAGGACAGGAGGTCTCGCTCATGGCTGCGGAGACTCTCTGAGGACAGCAGGTCTCTGAGGACAGGAGGTCTCGCTCACGGCTGCGGAGACTCTCTGAGGACAGGAGGACTCCCTCACGGCTGCGGAGAGACTCTCTGAGGACAGGAGGTCTCGCTCACGGCTGCGGAGACTCTCTGAGGAAGGTGGTCTCGCTTACGGCTGCGGAGACTCTCTGAGGACAGGAGGTCTCGCTCACGGCTGCAGAGACTCTCTGAGGACAGGAGGTCTCGCTCACGGCTGCGGAGACTCTCTGAGGACAGGAGGTCTCGCTCATGGCTGCGGAGACTCTCTGAGGACAGCAGGTCTCTGAGGACAGGAGGTCTCGCTCACGGCTGCGGAGACTCTCTGAGGACAGGAGGACTCGCTCACGGCTGCGGAGACTCTCTGAGGACAGGAGGTCTCGCTCACGGCTGCGGAGACTCTCTGAGGACAGGAGGTCTCGCTCATGGCTGCGGAGACTCTCTGAGGACAGGAGGTCTCGCTCATGGCTGCGGAGACTCTCTGAGGACAGGAGGTCTCGCTCATGGCTGCGGAGACTCTCTGAGGTTCAGCAGGTTACGGTGGTTTGATGAAGGACTGTGGGAGCTACCGAAGGAGGTTATTACTTTGGGCGTTATGAGCATTAGATCTTAGGTCACATGTTTTCAAAGATCAATTACATTTGGCATTAAGAAAAAAAACCTGAAATGGTGTGTATTGAGTTTTAGTGCTGAATGTTGTGCTTCTGAAAGAGGCTGAAGTCAAGAGTTACTCAAACCTGCTTTACTCCTACACCGACGATGGAAACATATCGTTGGCGTAGGTTTTGGTTCGTACTCGGTGGGAACATGACCCAAAAATGTTCTGGTAAAGAAGCAGCAAGAAGGGTACCTTGTTCTTTCGGTGCCTGCATAGGTTTTCTCCGGTTGCTACGGTGAACGGATGGAGATGGTTGAAGGCTTTGATATGTGTGGAGTGAATGGAAAACTATCCATACTCAAAGTCACTCTTTTTGGGACTTTGGTCTGTGAAATATGCTAAATAAATAGACACTGAGTAGCCTGGTCGTACCACACCATAGTACAAATTACATTTCATACGACGGTCTGGATTTGCTCCATTGTGCTCAGTGAAAAGGTGGGAGGGGTTAACTCCTTTGGCAGATTGAAACGATTGGATCTGATTTTACCGTGACGTATGTAATGCGCCCGAGTGAGTCGTTAGCATTTAGCCTAGCTTTAGCCATCTCCTTTGCCGCTAACCGAGCCCGTGTGGAGTAACGCCAGACCGGATTACTTTACTATCGCTTTTTTCGCCATTGCCAAACTACAACCTGCCCGTTCGACGCACACTCTTGACATCACTCACAACTAACTACAACACCCGCCTCATGCGCTCTCTGATTGGTCGGTTGAAATTCAAGCTATTGTAATCGCTCTCACATAGGGACCAGACCCAGACGTTACATGCAGTGAAATTATGATATGATGAGCGGAGAGTACGGATGGATAAGACCAGGCTAGATACTTTGTAAATACAGTCATTTCTTGAAGTCATTTTGTACAATTGTATATGCTCAAGTACATATTTATTTTACTAGAATATACAGCGCTTTGTAAAGTCCTCACAGATAACTTGAATGGAATAGAAGAACTTGAACTCTCTACATCCTGGAATTTCGCCCCAATAATCTCTTTCTGTATTAGTCCTGGACGCTGCTCGTTTGTCAGTCGGACGCGCTCCGTGATGTGTCTAAGCCATGTCAGTGAGCGAAACAGTTACATCTCCATTTGATTGGCTCTGCGGTCGCACCGTGCATCTCCCAAAGCACATTTCCCAGGCCGATAGCCCGCACAGGCAGCAGCAGCAGCAGCAGCAGCGACGTGGAGAGGAGAGGCTAAATCAGGAGTGGCTGGTAATGATTTACACGCAGAGGTCTGACAGCTACAGCGAGAGGAGCAGAGAGAGGAGCTGTGTCCGTCAGGGTCACTCACTGTCCTCATTTACTCAACACATGTGCTCCTTCCAAAGACTCGGAGGAGGAGAGAGAGCAGACATACACAGAGAAGGCACTGGGGGCGAACAAGGAAACACAGAACAGAGACAGATCAATGCACTTCAATGTGTTCTTCTATGATGAAATGATAGAAAACACACAGAGTCCTTGGTCCATAGAACACAGGTACATACTTTTACCTGTGAACTGAAATATTGTCTGTTGAGCGTCCAAACCTGTCAGCACTGATTGAAGAATGTGTTTTATCTGATTTTCATATGCGTTTTTCTGGTTTGGACAGTGGATGTTTAAGTTATGTAAGAATTTCATGTAAAGTCATCCTTAAAGTGATAGTCTGGAAAAAAGAGAGAGAGGTGCATGAGTCGAAAAAAACAACCCAAGCTCCGCCCCCTTCCTTTCTGATTGGTCTTGAAGCTGCGCCTCCTTTCCCGTGCTCGCCAGAGAAGAACACACTGATTTTAATGTAATTTCAAAACGTTCTACCGATCATTATTTCTTGATAACTGACCTCATAACATTAATGACCGCTGCCCTTTGGCAACGCACTCTCTGCTTGTAGTTCAGGTGTAAAATACTTAGTTGACAGTAGTTGGTAGACATCGTCACAACGAGCATCAGCGCCTGTCACTATCGGAGCTAGCCACGCTCAATAACACAAAGATCATATAATATATTATTTCTAAAAAAAAGTACCTTTCTCTCATTTGCAGTTACACAGAAGTGTTTTCTTATCCATTGATTACGACGTTCAGAAAGATCAGTAAAACATCCAGTCTCTCACATTAGAGGCCGAGATACACTCTAGGCCTGCTGGGACTGGAGCACAGGGACCGGCCTCCTGCTGGGACTGGAGCACAGGGACTGGCCTCCTGCTGGGACTGGAGCACAGGGACTGGCCTCCTGCTGGGACTGGAGCACAGGGACTGGCCTCCTGCTGGGACTGGAGCACAGGGACTGGCCTCCTGCTGGGACTGGAGCACAGGGACTGGCCTCCTGCTGGCTCTGGAGCACAGGGACTTATCTCCTGCTGGGACTGGAGCACAGGGACTGGCCTCCTGCTGGGACTGGAGCACAGGGACTGGCCTCCTGCTGGGACTGGAGCACAGGGACTGGCCTCCTGCTGGCTCTGGAGCACAGGGACTTATCTCCTGCTGGGACTGGAGCACAGGGACTGGCCTCCTGCTGGGACGGGAGCACAGGGACTGGCCTTCTGCTGGGACTGGAGCACAGGGACTTACCTCCTGCTGAGACTGGAGCACAGGGACTTACCTCCTGCTGGGACTGGAGCACAGGGACTTACCTCCTGCTGAGACTGGAGCACAGGGACTGGCCTCCTGCTGAGACTGGAGCACAGGGACTTACCTCCTGCTGAGACTGGAGCACAGGGACTGGCCTCCTGCTGAGACTGGAGATCAGGGACTTACCTCCTGCTGAGACTGGAGCACAGGGAGTGGCCTCCTGCTGAGACTGGAGCACAGGGACTGGCCTCCTGCTGGGACTGGAGCACAGGGACTGGCCTCCTGCTGGGACTGGAGCACAGGGACTGATCTCCTGCTGGGACTGGAGCACAGGGACTGGCCTCCTGCTGGGACTGGAGCACAGGGACTGATCTCCTGCTGGGACTGGAGCACAGGGACTGGCCTCCTGCTGAGACTGGAGCACAGGGACTGGCCTCCTGCTGAGACTGGAGCACAGGGACTTACCTCCTGCTGAGACTGGAGCACAGGGACTGATCTCCTGCTGGGACTGGAGCACAGGGACTTACCTCCTGCTGGGACTGGAGCACAGGGACTCACCTCCTCCTTTGTAGAGTCAGTGTTACTAATTAAAGCCTAAATCTGTCGCAGATCAGACTGAAAATGTGAGACACTTCTGCTTTTTTTTAATCCTAAACTTCATCCTTTGTTTTTCTCCAGAAACACAGCTGTCGTTCACACCAGGAAACGTTATCATCGAACGACGCTAAACACACTTCTCTTCCTCGATCACGGCTGCAGGAGTTTGACAAGAGCCGACTTTCTAACGAGAAGTTGTTGCTGGTGTTTGAAAGCCAGTGATTTCGGAGTTATTATTTCAGGCTAACGTTACTTTGAACAGACCTGATGAACCGGAGGAGCCGACAGCCGCCGAGCCGTTTGTTTGTCTTCGTCCGTGGATGACTGACGCGTCGGCTCTGACAAAGCTACATTTGAGCCAATTATCATTACCGCACACTCCGGAAGGACGCTAATTCATTTTTCCTCAGGCGCAGAAATAATGAGAGCGAGAGGAATCACTGTGAGCACACGCTGAGACGTCCACAATTTTGAAAAGAGACTGGCAATAGTTCGGAAAGTTTGGGATGGCTTTCGGCCCACTCCTTTTGAGCAGTACTTGTCTGCTCAAATAAACAAATAAATAAAAAAATAAAAAAATAGTTTAGTCTGTTGTGAAGGAATTGTACGATTTAAATCTGTGCTACACAACGTTCCTTACGACTCAGAGACAACACATGTTTCATTCACGGAAGAAAGTTGGCAGACCTGTCTTCCAATTATTTAGGTGTCAAAGGCTGTAAGTCCGAACAATGGCTCTGACAAAAATACCGGACCTCATAATGCATGTGCTATGGGTTTGTATGGATGGATGTGTTTCTGCTGCCGGACACTGGAATGGTCCTCCTCCAGGGATTCTATCATATATCCATCTATCACATTAGAGAAGTGTTCCCCAACCTTTTTCCCAGTTATTTGGACTATTAAATGATATTTGATTATCTTCGGAATCTCCAGGCACCAAACAACATCTCAGAGCACACTAAGATCCCACAGAAGAAAAACACTGCATTAAATCACTATTTCTGGGTTTTTTTTTTTGTCAATATCCTTACCGGAGCTTTGCCACAAACTCATCTCCGTCTCTGTAGAATGTCATGTGTTTTTTTACATAGACTGTAAATATTAACGGACGTAGTCACACCTATCTCCGCCGTTCAAACTAATATGCCACTACTTTTGCCGTCTATGGGCAGTTTCAAAATGGCCGTGGGGGCAGGAAAATGTGAACTAACGCATCTGTGCATTCGACTGGTCCAAAACACCCCCCTCAGCTTTGACACACATGTGGAGCTTTGGGCCAAGAGCGACTTTTGGACCATCCTGTAAAGACGTGTTCGAGAGGTTTGTAGATACGTACATTAGCATTGAATAATTCTTATTCCGGGTCCAGCCCCTCTGGCCCGGGGTCGTAGTGCAGCATGTCAGGGCACGTCATTTGGTTTGAACGGTTTAATTGAACTGACTGTATGCACTCACACACAGATGTAGATTTGTAACATTCACAAACTCTTTATGGGTGTACAAAACTACAAGGTATGCATTGCTTGTATTGTATTTTGTATTTTGATCAAATTACTGTGATTTCTCATGGGACTCCACGTAGAAAGACCTGGAGGTGGAGTCGAACCCGGGTCCAGCTCAAATACTGCGTCATCAGTGCCTGCATTCTCGTCTGACACCACTACTCTCCCAGTACTGTCCAGACCATGACTACGCTGACCACAGCTGTGTGTTGTGTTGGCAGGAGTCCTTCACCACGGTCTCTTCTCCGCTCACACGGACACACAACCCGACCGCACCTTCTCCGCCATCAGTATAAGTTACATTAAATCACTGTTTAAGTACGGAGAATACGTCTGTGGCTCGTGTGATTAGTTCAGAGGTCTACCGCTGTCTTCCTACAGCCCTCAGTCCTGCCCCTGCCCCTTAGAGAGCAGAGTGCTGTGTAGATTTATTTATGCACGGCTTTAGACAGCTGCAGCAGCACTTGATATCTCCGCGATCACACTTCAGCAGTGGCTTCAGGTGGTTAGAAAAGTGTATAAAGTGAGTGGGGTTTACAGCTTTAGGACTTCCCAGATTTCTCTTATTGTGAGTGATTTTTTAGGAACATACTCCCACCATAAAAGAGGTACTACTCTGTTTTGAGCCCGGTTCAGGAGGGTCGGCTGCCGGGTCGTTTAGACGCTCAGTGTGAAGGAAAACATGCCCCAGGGTTGAGTCGACCCCTGCTGTGTTCTGTATTCTGTGATGATCATTCCAGCTGAGATCAAACGGAGCAGTAGCCTAAATGTACTGAATATGTTCTCCATAAATGAAGAGGAGTTTGATTTTTGAAGAGATATTAAGCTTCAGCGCAAGTTCAGACTGGAAGACCACAGTGTTGCCAACTCCTCAGTAAGGAAAGTAGCTATTGGCTGTCCCAAAAGTCGCTAGAAGTCGCTAAATGACGTCATCGCCTAATTTGCATAAGTGGCAATTTGCAAATAACTGTAACGGACGCTGTAGGAGAGAGGAATAACGTCGTGGGAGAGACAAAAGTGAGTAAAAAACACCCTAAATATGTTTAGAACTACAAATGTACAAAAATAATTTCAACATTAACAACATTTAATGATTTTAATGCTTTGTCTAGATCCACATTACACACATCAGTTTTGTCCTGTATTGTTAAATGTTATAACAGCAAATGTAATCAAAAGATTGTTATGTAGGGTGAAATTGCTAGCTCTACAACCAACCCTCCTCCTTTATCCGGGCTTGGGACCGGAAAAGTGACCCAAAAGACACACTCTGGCAGAGTTACTTAGGTTTATTTTTTTACGTTTTTTTTTTTTGTTTTCATAGTTTGGCATAACAAATGATTTAATGTGACCCACTACTGAGAGAAAACAGAGTCACGGACAGAGCTGCCGCGGATGGAGTGGGGGGTAGTGGGGGGTGGCGGTGGTAGGAGTGGCCGGGGAGCTTTGCATGTGTGGTGGTGGTGGAGCTGAAGTTCAGTCTGCAGCAGCCTGAAAACTTCCTGTGTTTTGAGACAGGGTCTCCTCTCTCTCTCTGCTCCGCCCATAGACTGTAGCTGGGACTGCTGCGCAAGGCTACTGTGAGACTGGCCGCCTGTAAGTGCTTTGGGACGGGGGAGGGGCTCACGTTGAGGACAGTAACTGCAGAACAATACGTGCTTCACGCCAGAGTCTCCAAAACACCAGATAAGTCTCCAATAACACCAGAAAAAGTTGCTAGATTTGTCGCTAATCGCTTTTTTGAAAAAAAGTCGCTATAGGGGTCTGAAAAGTCGCTAAATCTAGCGACAAAGTCGCTAAGTTGGCAACACTGGAAGACCAAAGAGACGTCATGCGGCCACACTGACTCCTCCCTCTCTACACTGACTCCTCCCCCTCTGCACTGACTCCTCCCCCTCTGCACTGACTCCTCCCCCTCTGCACGGACTCCTCCCCCTCTGCACAGACTCCTCCCTCTCTACACGGACTCCTCCCTCTCTGTACTGGCTCCTCCCTCTCTACACTGACTCCTCCCTCTATACGTCTGCGCCCACGGTCAGCACCATCAGCTGCTCAGTAACTAAGCACTTCATGGCCACCTTTAAACAGAGCCTCTCAGTTCTCAGCACCTGTTCGAGCAGCAACCCACCTCCTCCCCATCACCGTGTCTTCAGTGGAGCATGTCATGTCTTCGGCTCAACATCTTCGCCACCAGAGTCTAGGCCCCGGGGTTCTCAAGCTCATCTATTGAACTAACCCTAACCCTTCTGCATACGTCAATACTAATAATGCAATCCTTGTCTGGAGTGATTGAAATATATTGAATCCTGCATAATGTGAACCCATGTCTGACTCAGATCATTCACATTATCAGACATCTGTAATAAAGGGAACACCATGAGCCAGATGCAGTAGAATAGAACCCTGTTGTTTTGTTCCAACTGACTAGTTTTACACCATTACTACTTATATACGATAAAATACTCTTCTTTGTTAAAGGTGCATTACGCTTCTTTGTTGGTGGAGAGTCCGCTTTCTGTCGCGTTCAACGGTATTCAATTCATTTCATTTTTCTACAGGACTTTACTTTGCATCCACATTTGAGACGAGCCAGAGACATCCCCAGGCTACAGTCTAAGCCATATCTGCGGAGAGGACCTGATTATAAGTTTGTAGATACAGTATTGTCGCAGTGAAAGCTTCCGTGAGGTAGATTAAAAGCCAAAGTGTCTCTGCTCTGTCTGAAAAGTTTCTCAATGCAGCTTTGAGAATCCCTTTACTACCTTTGTTTTTGTTGGAATTTCACATCTCCGGGTCATCCCAATCCAACCGTGTGCTTTCCATTCAGATCTATCCGTCTTCCATTCGACTAAAACAACAGTTTGCTCTCTGTGAGTTCTCTGCCTAAAATATACCATCAATTATACATATGCTACAGCCCCCTCGGAATACCCCCCCGACTCTTAGACACATATGAGCGCGCTTGAAACAAAGAAACCCCAGTAGCCCCTCCTCCTTCCTTCCCTCCCCCCCCTCCTCTCCTCTCCACCCGCCCGGCACGCTGACCTCAAAGTGTCAGAGAAATCCAACGCACCCCGCGCGGGCGAGTGCTTTACCCCGCGGCAATTAATAAAGCATTAATGACTCGAGCGCTTTCCAAATGTACCGGTGTAGAAAGAGAGAGAAGCCTTTTATGGCGTAGCATCGGGTTTGGGAAGCGAGAGGCTGTTAACAAATATGGCAGCGTTAGCGAAGCGCGCACGTCCGAACGCATTTGTTTTACACGTGGAACATGGCGGCGCTGATGCAGGACAGCGAGGATGTGACTGATTCTCGGGCGATGGGGAAAGTGCCGCATGCCAAACAAAAGTGCTGCGTGTGGAACAATGGAGACGGAGAGAAGAGTTGTTTCGGGATCCGTGGGTTGTGTTCGAGCAGAATCTATTAAAAATGAAACATGGGTCTGTGATGTTTCAAAGTCACATGTGCATTTACATTTATGCACTGAAGGAACCCGGGTTTACGGCCACGGCAGCTACAACTTTAACGTTTATGGACATTGGTCTCTGCTCCTTATGGCTCTGTGTGTTTTTATCACTGCATTTCTTGGTTTTGAACTGTTTGATTCTCTGATCTGTGTTGGTGAATCGACAGCTACACACAAATAAACTGAATTTAATTGAACACTGTGACTTAAAAACAACAAATCCCATAGAAATCTTCTTTCAGGAGGAATGGGCCAGAATTCCAGCAGCTATAGCAAAGGTTCAGACTGGAATATCTCCCCATGGACACAACACCACCTCCTTAAAGGGGACACAACCTGATTCAGTTCAAGAAGAGATCTTTTATTCGTCCCACGGATGGAAATGTCAGTGTTGCATCATCGGTTACAGAACAGCAGGAATGAGGAGCACACGGCACACAGGGAGGGGCTAGGTGTTAGAAGTCAGAGTAAAGAAAGCGCACATATGAGGATATAAATGACTCAAAAATCAGTCCAAAACAACTTTAAATCAAGTTTAAGTAAATGACAACTGTGGCCAAGACTTTTTGTTCATGTCTTTAACTACAATCGTCCACAGCTGCACTTGTGCCTCTGCTCATCAGTGATCAGCCTAAGATCGTACTTGTATCTTTCTCACTCACCTTCAGCAGTCACCTTGTGCAGTCACCCTCCTCCTCCCCCACATCTCCTTCAACACTGAAACTCTTCAAGTTATCACTTCACTTCAATCAAGTTTTTCCTGCATACACAATATTTCTGTCAGTGTCTAACACACACACACACGCATGTGCAAACACACATAGACATACTCATGCACAGATACTCACAGACACTGAGACACACACACATGCGCAGACACACGCACACACACGTGCATAGATACTCACAGACACACACACACACAGACGCACACTCTCATCTCTGGTCAGCAGTGTGTCAGTGTGTCTCTGCTTCATTAAGCAGGCCTCCGCAGCAGTAATGACCACTCGCTCTGATGGCCCTGACCCTTCTGCGCCAAGTCAAATGGAAACAAGTGGTCACTGCTGTCCACACACACCTCTCATTAAGAGTGCGTCACGTGTCAGGTCTGTGGAGCCGCAACGAGTGTTCGTCCTCTTAAAGATCAGGTCTGTGGAGCCGCAACGAGTGTGCGTCCTCTGAAAGATCAAGTCTGTGGAGCCGCAACGAGTGTGCGTCCTCTGAAAGATCAGGTCTGTGGAGCCGCAACGAGTGTGCGTCCTCTTAAAGATATTCCTTAGATCTGTTCAGTCTGAGACATTGTCTCACCTTAACTCTCTGTTCCGTCATTGTCATTCCACGTCTGTTTTACTTCTTGTCCTCAATCCCTGTTTGGTATCCTTTGTGGTTACTCAGGAGTTTGTAGTTGCTTAAGCTTTTATTAAACCTTTTAGATTTGCATTTAGCCTAGGTTTAGCATTTAGCCTAGCTTTTAGCCATCTCTTTTGCCACACATGATGCGACACATGTAGAGTGTGTCGCTAATGCTAATTTTCAACTCCTGTTCATGGGTGAGCTACGGTTCTTTAAGTTTTGTAATCAATCAGACCGTCACTAAAAGGTTTCGCTCTCAGCTGGTGTGCTCTGTGTTTTCTTAAACACATGCAGAGCCTCAATTGGAAGAAAAAAAACAACATTCAGAATTTTAGGCCGATATCAAAGATCCCATTCTTGGCTAAAGTCAAGTTAGTCTGAGAGTTAGAGTTAGTCTGGAACTTCCTGAATCAAGACTGGAAAGTGTCGAAAGTGTTGTTGGTTACACTTGACTGAAACAGCATTTCTGAAAGTCTGTATAATAATATTGTAATAATAATAATATAGTTATTTAAAAACACCTTTCAAAACACAGTTATGTGACTGTCTAGCCTGACTCAGAACCTGTTGATGGTCCTCCTCTCAGAACCTGTTGATGGTCCTCCTCTCAGAACCTGTTGATGGTCCTCCTCTCAGAACCTGTTGATGGTCCTCCTCTCAGAACCTGTTTATGGTCCTCCTCTCAGAACCTGTTGATGGTCCTCCACTCAGAACCTGTTGATGGTCCTCCTCTCAGAACCTGTTTATGGTCCACTCAGAAACATGTGTCATCCAGCCAACTTAAGTTCTCTTATAGATCATTATAAAGCTCACAACAGTCAAGACAGTTTTTCAGTCCGTGATGTCGGCCCTGGACTAGTCTGGTGAACTAAGTGGCCCTCTTACTGAAAAGTTTGGACACCCCTCGCCTCGCCATACCTATTGTTCTTGTCATTAAATACAAGAACAATAGGTAAAAACCATCAGCATCTGGACAGAGGCACCAGTGACACCAGGATGGGTCCAACGCAGAGGACACATTTATAGTCATCCTTAACCTTAAAGCAGTGTTTTTCAACCAGTGGGGCGTGGCACGTTGGTGGGCCTTGAGCTGTTTGTAAGTGTGCCTTGGAAATGATCCAATTGGTCAAAATCATGTGAAGAGAAAATTATATGAGATGATTAGAAAGATTTGTTTGTGCTTTCTTGGTTCTCTATATAATACACATTGGCTGAGAATGAGTTTTCTTTGTTAATAAAGGCTGCAAAGGATGTAGCGGGGAGCATTGTGGCGAGACACGTAAAGCCTAGTGTATAGTCGCGCGGACCTTACGGTGGGGACGTGATGTCACTTGCGCAACGCGTGGATCACCGCAAGGCCCTTACGTAGCCTGCCGCGTACCCTCGAAAAATGTCTAACTACGCAGCTGCCGGCACAGAGAAGCTCCGCTGTGATTGGTCCGTGTGTGAGTACTTTCTGTGAAGCACGGAGCGGCTGCAGGAGCATGGACGAGGCACTTCGGAGCAGACTGCTTCGTGCTTCCAAGGAAAAGCAGTTTGGGCTCATGGCTCAGAGCATGGTATACGCGGAGACTGTGGACTACAGTTCTGTTGCATAGCTAATATACAGTATATTTAACTTATAAACTGTGCAGTCGTTTGTTTTGCACTGTTCCTGTCTTTGTCTGAATCGTAGCTGCGTCTGTTCTATTCCTCCTGTACTTTTAAATAGTTCATAGTAGTAAATAGTTCTCTGACCTGTGTTGGTGATTTCAATGGTTTTGTTAAGTCTCTGAGATGACTTCTGTTGTGACCTAGGGCTATACAAGAATAAATTGTATTGTATTCATGTTTGGTCTTATATTTACCACTTATTGTTATGCTGTTGGGGCAACAGTAGCTCAGTTGGTAGAGCATTGGCCTTTGGGTCTGAAGGTCGTGGGTTCAATCCCACCATAAGACCTACTTCACGACTCCCACTGATGACTGCTGTCGTTGTGTCCTTGGGCAAGACACTTAACCCCCCTTTGCCTGAAGCTCCCACTGAAAGATCTCAGTTCCTGTGGACTCACCACCTGCAGGAGGATCAGTGAGGGGCTGGTGCTCTGTGGACTGGGTGCAGCTCTGACTGCCACCCCCCCGACCCAGAAATGGATTAAGGGGAAGAAAATGGATGGATGGATGGATGTTATGCTGTTTGTGCTGAATACACTTTAATAATAACTATGTTTCCAACAAGAACTGTGTCTTTATTCACAACATCACAGTGAAATGAGTTGAAACGATGTGTTTAGAACTGTCACATGAACCTGCAGTAGAAACACATGTAATGATCTCAAACAGTTTGGTTTGTTCATGTTTTTGATCTGAAGAGGAGAAAGTAGCAGCGTAAATGGGACCACTTTGGTTTCTCAGGCAACTCCTTCGAGATCGCCATTATGTGGTTGGCTGTGGGATTACAACATTCTCTTCAAAACTCTGCAAGGGGAACGCGCGAGTGTATCACCAACTGTGGCTGCGTAGGTCCAACGCAAACGCAACCGCAACCGTTACCAGCGAATTGGACGCAACCAACAAATGTAACAGGGAGCGGGGCAGAGGCTGTAGCTCATGAGAAGTGAAAGTGATTGAGACCTTTTTGAAAATGAATTATGCCATTTCTGAACAGGATTCAAATCATCTGCTCTGACCCCGAGGCAGCTGTGGCCGCTTTGTCAACAGCTCAGCAAACGCACATCCGTAACATGGTACTGAGCGTGGACCATAGACGCGCAGACAGAACCATGGACTCGTGTTCAGGAACCAGCAGAGAGTGGATTTTTTAAATAATCTTTCCCCCACAGTTAGTGCCACTTTATTCCCAAACTCTTGTTAACTCATTGTATTGAGAAATATCAAACAAAGCTTAAAGCTGCACTAACTGACTTTATTTTTGTATTAATTACTAAAATGCTATCCATGTCCGTGTAGGGCATTGGGATATACGTCCTTTTGAAGAAAAAGTAGTGCAGATTTGTGCTGGCGTGACATTATATTTTAGATCGAGTTTTGATGAAACAAGGAAGAGAATGTGTTTCGGGTCGCAGATTGTGACCAATCACAGCGGACCACTAGCCCCCACTTTCGTGAGAAATCTACAGGTCCGTTAGCATAGACGGCTGAGTTAGCACAACAAGCCAAGGAGCTAACCTGAAACTTCCTCGTCTTCGTCGCCGGTTACTGCTTACACAGCGAGACAGCCATCCAAAAGAAAGTCTCGTTCCTCCGCGCTTCCCGGTTCTATCGTTCTATGGTCACGCCATCCACGTGCAAATCCATATCCATGTTTTATCCATATTGGGAGACACTAGCTCCGTCCCAACAGTGGGTGTGTGTGTGGGGGCGATAGCTTCGTGGGTGCGGGGAGGGGAGCAGAAAGAGAGAGGCCATCGGGTCCACGGCTTCAAAATCCCAAAGTCAGTTAGTGCAGCTTTAATGTCAAGGCCTGTAGTAGTAGTAATCTTTATTTATATACCGCCTTTTCACTGCAGATCTGAGTCTCAAAGCGGTTTACAATTGTTAATTTTGGGCATTTGTCTCTCACTCCACACAGAGATGGGAGCGGGGCCAGTACAGGAGGCGCATGCCAGAACTATTGGGCATATTTTTAGTGGTAGGGGAAACCGGAGTACCCGGAAGAAACCTACGCAGACACGGGGAGAACATGCAAACTCCACTCAGAAATGCCCTGGTCCGACCGGGATTTGAACCCAGGACCTTCTTGCTGAGAGGCGAGAGTGCTATCCACTCTGCCACCGTGCCTGTATTAAAGCACTTTGATGAGAATGACTTTATATTGTGAATATAGCCTACAGAGTATATCTTCATACATTTTCTCCTAGTGGTGTGCCGCGAGATGTATTCAATGAAAAAAGTGTGCCTTGGCTCAAAAAGGTTGGGGACCACTGCCTGAAAGTAATGTACCAAAAGTACAGCAGCGCCACAGTCTGTTTGGAGTCTTTCTTCTTTCAAACCTGCGCACGCTAAGGCTGGTCCTCACTCCCCCATCATGATATGTTCTATCAGTCTCCTCTGATGGCCCCAGCCTCTCCCCCCTCTGCCTCCCCCATCACACCCCCTCTCTCTCCCCGTGTGACAGCGGCTGACGGACGTGTCATCGGGGTGACACGGCGTTCTCCCGCTCAGCCTGCCGTGATTGACTTGTTAGCCCATTATTCTTCGCCGTGGCAGAATTAATAGCCACCGGGGGAGAGCGAAGTGAAACGCGAGCTGGCATTTTTACCGGCCGCGCGCCTGAGTTACGGCAGGAAGTCGCCGTCTGAGAAAAGAAGGTGATAGAATTGTACTTGTGTGTTGAAGAATGGGTGAAAAATGTGGGTTTTAAGCAGCGCGGAGGTGAGGCGTGAGCGGCAGCAGAGCGGGGAGCGAGTGTCGGGCTGAAGTCGGGGTTGATGTATGAGGTCTAAAGGCTGAGCTGGTTATGTTTCCCATAGGCGCAGTAACAACACGGTAAAGACGCACACAAAAGCTCAGTTTGACAAATGGCGGCTTGATAAAAGGCAGGTTTCACAGATCTGGCTCCACGCTGTCACGGTTATATAGATGTTTCTGTGTGCGTCCCTTTTATCAGTGCAGAGGGACTGAGCAAAGGGGTGAGAGAAGGTTTGGAGATTGGAACTTCCTGAGAGAGGCCAACGATAGACATCTGTGCTAAGAGATAAACGTGTCATTCAATGTATTTTTGTACAGACTGTAACAACAACAGTAGTTATCTCAGAGGACGCTGCACAGCTGTTGATTCACCAACACAGATCAGAGAATCAAACCGTTAAAACACAGGAAATGCAGTGGTAAAAAACACATAGAGCCGTTGGTTCATAAGGGGCAGAGACCACTGTCCTTTAATGTTAATAAATGTTGTTAAATGTTGTTTTC